GCTCGTCTGGTGGGGACAGTGGTGGCGGGGTGGGGGTTCTGTTCTGAGGACATGCATGTTCTACATCCTTCACCAAATCCATGCTTCCACTCTCCTTCAACAGCGGTGTTGCCTGCCAAATTTCATAAGCAGCATAATGATACATATAAATTAATACAAATAATACATTTAAATGAATAGTTCACACAAAATATATTCTGTCACCATTTACTTATCCTCAGTGTTTTTCCAAACCTGTATGATTTTCTATCTTCCATGGAACACAATAGAATACAGTGTTAAATGATAGCGTCATTGATTGCGAAGACGGGGTGAAAATTGTGGATCATGATGATAATTAAATAAAGAATACAAAAAGAAAAAAAACTTTTCACATTTTTTTTTTTAGAGTTATGTTTAAACTGATATAAAATGTTTGAATGACATTTTCATCAACTAAAATCAGATGGCATTTTAATCAGAGTAAAATGTACTAAAATGAATGAAAATGACATGAAAAAATATTGACTAAAAGGATAATTTCAATAAAGTCAAAAACTATGACTAAAAAAACTCTAAATAAAATGAATATGACATGACGAAATATTGATTATTTTTAAAGGACATTTTTTATTAAATGACAAAAACTATTTCAACTATTTACGGTGTAAAAATTATTACTGGTTCTGAAGAATAATAAGTTGCTATTTTCCATTCAACTATTCAAAGGTTTGGGTTGGTAAGATTTTTAAATGTTTTTGAAAGAAGTTTCTTCTGCTCACCAAGGCATTTATTTAATTACAATACCATACAAATTGTAATATTTTAAATATTATTACAATTTAAAGTCACTGGCCTATCCTAATGTATTTAAAATGTAATTTATTCCTGTGTTGGCAAAGATTAATTTTTAGCATCATTACTCCAGTATTCAGTGTCACATGATCCTCAGAAATTATTCTAATTTACTGATTTGGTGCTCAAGAAACATTATTATCAATTCAGAAAACAAGATTTTTTGATGAACAGAAAGTTCAAAAGAAAAACATTTATTTCAAACATAAGTCTTTTGTAACAATGTAAATGTCTTTATTGTCACTTTTGGTCCAGGGAACACTTTTGATCAATTTAATGCTATATAAAAGTATTCATTTCTTTAAAGAACAAAATCTTACTGATCCTAAATTTATTTTTGAGCGGTAGTGTAGTTTCAAAGAAAAGCCCAAAAAGCACCATAAACATAATATATATAATCCATACATGTAATATGATATATTCTGAGACTTCTGTAACCATATGATAGCTTTGTGTGAGGAACAGACTGAAATTCATTGGTCACTTAAAAAACTTGCTTTCCCACATTCAAGCCACAGGACACATTCAAATGTTCTTTTATGGAAAAAAAGAACAGCCTGGACACTCCTTACATAAAAATATAATTTTCTCTTCCACTGTAAAAAGAAAATGTTTCAGAAAAAATGATTGTGAGTAAATGATGACAGAAGTTTCATTTTAGCTGCATTATGAATTCAACTGTTTTGAATAAGACTAACCGAGGGAGCTTCTGTTTGTGTGGCAGGTTGCACCTTTAGGTCCACTGCCACTGTCTGTGGTGGCGGCAGATTCTGAAAAGGCAACTGAACTACTGCTTCAGTGACTGGGAGCTCCTCTTCAGACACCAGCATGTGGTCAGACTGGACAGCTACGGTCTGGACTGAGCGGAGAGACAGTCTCTGTGGCTGGACCAGCCTGGGCAGAGCCATGGTGAGAGGAGGGGGGCTGGACAGAGGTGAATACTGGGAGACCGGCTCTAGCACTGGGCCCAGATGAAGCGTCGGAGGGTCAGGGAGCACTGCAGGGGGAGCTGTGGATGTAGACACCACTACTGACTGATTGCTGGGATGATTGGGCACTGAGAGGAACTCAGTGTGCTGTGATTGGACGGTGGCTGTAGTGGGAGTGGTACGGGACTGCAGGGCAAGGGGTGGAGGAGAGCTGTCCTGCGGCATGACACGCAGCGCAATGGGCTGGACCTGTCTTTGAGCGGTAGAGCTCTGCTGGATGATGAGCTGGTGTGGCGCCACCCTCTGGCCGGAAGGGCAATGCAGCTGGTGTCTGACCAATGTATGAGACTGAACTGGAGTGAAGGTTGCTGCAGTAGAGACAGTCATTACAAGCAAACAGAAAGTGTTCAGAAAGATGTTTGAAAAGGAAAACAGATGAGTTATAGCAGTGAATCTCAATAGTTTTGACCTTTTTATTTTTAGAAACTTAAGCTAGGTGCACACTGTGCGTTTTTTTTTTTTAATAGTCCTTTACAGTTGTTGCTTGTCAGACTGTATGAACATGTCACACTGTTGGATCTCAGTTGTCATTAATGTCAGACTGTACGACAGTCAAGATGTGTTAAAAACGGGTGCGCACAAGAAAACTTGTCCGGAGTTTTACCTTATCAACTCATACAAGTTCAGTGACTGCGAGCTGCATTGCTGTAATGTTGGTAATGTTGGCTATCATTAAAAGTAGGGCTGCACGGTAAATCGCATGCGATGCCGTTGTTGCTGCGCAAACTGCGCAAAACCACTTTCATATTTGCGCGATTTTTTGCGCAGCTCGTCAGTGAACAACGGCTCTGTGTAGTTAATG